TCTCACCTGTGTCATTGTAATAACCTCCTAATTGGTCTCCTCTCCTTCTTACTCCCTGCAGATGATCACTGTGAGGTTTTGTTGTTGTTGGTGGTGGTGGTGAAAATACACACAACAAAACATACACCCATTCAACATCTTCTACATCTACATTTAATGACATTGGTTACATTCTTCACATTATGTCACTTTTTTCACTATCACTGGCCATATTCTTTCACCATTAACTTAGATTTTTTTATCTGCTAAATTTCTCTGTGTTTTAGAGTTACTTTTGTCAATTTGATCTCATATAGGTAATTCCTTAAAAGAACATAATGCTCAAGGTGAGCAATCTTTACTAGTTGACCTAAATGGTTGTTTAATTTAAAAATGACTTCATAGGAGACTTTAATATACCACTTTCAATCAAAGATATAACAATTGGAAAGAAACTCAACAAAGGTGCAGAAGGGCTAAACAATACAATCCACCAACTTGACCTTATACACATCTACAGAGCGCTTTACCCAACAACAGCACAATACACATTCTTTTCCAGTGCACATGGAACATTCTCCAGGATAGCCCATATGGTAGGCCATAAAGCAAGCCTTAATAAATTTAAAAACATTGAAATACTGCAAAGCATCTTCTCAGATCACAATGCTACAAAATTAGAAATCAACAAGAGGAAGATCAATGGAAAAAGAGCAAACACATGGAAACTGAATAACACCCTCCTTGAAAATGACTTAGTAATGGAAGAAGTAAAAAATGAAATTAAAAAAAAAAATCCTTGAATCAAACGAGAATGAAAACACAACAAACCAAAATCTTTGGGACACAGCAAAATCAGTGATTAGAGGCTAATTTATAGCAATAATTGCACACATCAAAAAAGAAGAAAGAGCTAAAATCAACACTTTAATCCAACATCTCCAAAAATGAGAAAAAGAGCAGCAAAAAAAGCCTACAGTCACCAGAAGAAAAGAAATAATAAAGATTCGAGCAGAAATCAATGAAACAGAAAATAGAAAGACAATAGAAAAAATCCACAAGACTGGAAGTTGGTGTTTTGAACAGAGAAATAAAATTGACAAACCACTGGTAAATTTAACAAAGGAAAAGAGGGAGAGAATACAAATAACACAAATAAAAAATGAATGGGATGATGTCACAACAGAACCAACAGAAATTAAAATGATAATATCAGGATACTATGAAAAACTATACTCCAAAAAATTTGAAAAATTTAGAAGAAATGGACAGTTTTCTAGAAACATACTACTTACCTAAACTAATACAGACCGAGGTGGAAACATTGAACAGACTCATAACAAAAGAAGAAATTGAACATGTCATTAAAAAAATTACCAACAAAAAAAAAGCCCTAGCCCAGATGGTTTCACTGGAGAATTCTACCAAATGTTCAGAGAAGAACTGACACCAATCCTACTCAAACTCTTCCAGAACATAGAAAAGGATGGAATCCTCCCAAATTCATTTTATGAAGCAAGTATAACCTTCATACCAAAACCAGGCAAAGACACCACTAAAAAGGAAAACTACAGATCAATATCCCTCATGAATATATGTGCAAAAATCTATAATAAAATCCTAGGCAATAGACTCCAACAATCTATCTATCTATCTATCTATCTATCTATACATATATGTACATATACAGTATGACCAGGTAGGGTTCATACCAGGTGTGCAAGGATGTTCAACATTAGAAAAGCCATCAATGTCATCCATCAAATAAATAAAACAAAGGAAAATAACCACAGGATCATATCAATCGATGCAGAAAAGGCATTTGATCAAATCCAACACCATTCCTGATAAAAACTCTCAGCAAAATCAGAATAGAAGGAAAATTCCTCAACAAACCAACAGCCAACATTATTCTCACTGAAGAGAGATGAAACCATTCCTTTTGCAAACAGGAACCAGACAAAGATGCCCTCTATCTACCACTTCTATTCAAGATTGTATTGGAAGTCCTAGCCAGGGCAATAAGGCAAGAAAAGGAAATCAAAGGCATCCAAATTGGTAAGGAAGAAGTCAAACTATCCCTCTTTGCTGATGATATAATCCTGTACATAGAAAACCCCAGAGACTTAGTCAAAAATCTACTGGAACTGTTAGCAGACATTTCTTGAGCCTCTGCTAGGTGCTAGGAACTGTGGTGGCCACTGAGAACACAAAAATGGATGTCACTGTCTCTGCTGTCCAGGAATTCACAGACTAGCAAAAGAAAGATATAGGCAGGCAAATAAGAAGTGACCCCTCTATATGGCAGATAGGAAGGGTGGCCGGATTCCAAAGAGGAGAGTGACCAACTGTGTGAAGGGGATAATGTGTAGCAGCATGGCATGTATTTACAGAAAGCAGTAGGTATTCTGTGTGTCTGGAGCTTGGAGTACCTGGGAGAGAGTGAGGTGGGACCGTAAGTGGCACAAAAAAGCAGGAATGGTAGGCCGTTAAGGGAATTACACATCTTGCTAAGAAATTCTTCCAAAGCTACTGAAGACCTACTCAGCTAATAACCCTAAGGTTGCTTGTTCAAACCTACCCAACAGCATGGCAGAAGAACCACACCTGGTGAATGGCTTCCATTAAGAATACAGCCAACCCCACTCTGAAACTGATGGAGTCTGCACAAATGAATTCCTAAATAAACTAATATATCACCAAAGCTATTGAAGATCTGATGTAAAGCAGAATTTTTTTATTTTGAAAATTCGGAATCCATTCACTTACTCATTTATTCAATCATTATATCTCCCCTCCCCCCATCTCCTGGGATAGGGGAGGGGGATGAGGTTTGATGGAATTTCTGAGGAAGTAGCACTTGCTTAGACTAAATCGGGCCTTCCTGTTCCTGCTCCTCAATGGCGCTTCCTCCTTCCCTGCTCTGTTCCTCCTCCAGGAGTCACAGGTTAGCTCCTCCATAGCTCTCACTCTTCTTCTTCTTCTTCTTTTTAATAATTTGTGTTTTAGGTGAAAGCTTAAAACACAAATTATGCTTCTCTTTAACAATTTTTATACAATTGTTCTGTGCCTTTGCTTGTAATTTTTACAATGTATCAGCACTCTCATTATTTCCATTCTGCTTGCTCTGTTTCCAGTGATCTAGCTTCCCTTCCCCTCCTTGACTTCTCATCTTTGCTTTTGGGTAACTCTTTGGTCTCATATAGTTAATTGCTTAAGAGAGCACATTGCTCATGGGTGATATTGTTTATTTTATAATCTAATCTATTATTTGGCTGAAAGGTGACCTGCAGAAATAGCTTCAGTTCTAAGGTCAAAGGGTAACTTAAAACGACAACCTCAGAGATTCCTTTAGTCTCTATTGGCCCGTTAGGTCTGGTCTTCTTTAGCAGTTTTGAGTTTTGTTCTAACATTTTTCTCCTGTTTTGTCTGAGATCTTCTATTATGTCTGGACAGAATGGTTGGTAGTGGTAGCTGGGCACCATCTAGTTCTTCTGGTTAGAAGAGCTTGTGGTTTGTGTGGGCTATTAGTACTGTTGTGTAGTTTCTTCTTTGAGCCTTCAATTTCCTTCATTCTCTTTTGCTCCATACAAGTAGAGACCAATAGTTGTATCTTAGATGTCAGCTCCTAAGCTTTTAAGACCCCAGACACTACTCATCAAACTAGAATGTAGAACATTATCTTTGTGAATTATATTATGCCAATTGACTATGTTGCCCCTCTAGACCATGGACCCAAGCATTTTGATGCAGTAAACCAATCCCACAAGTTGTTTGGATATGTCTAGAAAGCCTCAGTTACTGTGTCAATCAATATATCTTAAACTCAACTCACTGCCATCGAGTCAATTCGAGTCATAGCAACCCCTCCTTGGGTTTCTGAGGCAGTATCACTACAGAAGTAGATTGCCCAACCTTCCTTCTGAGGAGTGGCTGGTGGGTTTGAACTGCCAGCCTTCTGGTTAGCAATCAAATGCCTTAGGCACTCTGCCACCAGAGCTCCCAATATATCTTAAGCTGCTCTTATATGCTAAGTGCAGTGGTAGGCTCTGAGTATATGGTATATAATAGATAGTCATATTCCTTGCTTTTATAGAGCTAACAATCCATAAGATCCTGAGGAAGTATACATGGCAGCTCCTGTCCTGGAGAACTGTATAAATAGGATAATTTATTATAACAAGGAACTGAAACAATTCTCCCAATAAAGGTATGTGTTTAAGCAAATCATAGCATGGCCATATAATGGAATATTTTGTAGCCATTAAAATAATGTTTTCAAAGAGCTCTTAATAGCATAAGAGAAATATCTACGGTACTTACTGAAAAAAGCAGGGTAAAAATTTCAGAGTGATATATATCTACAAAGAAAAAGAAACATAAAAAAGAGAATAAAATATACAAACATATTAATTATGGCTGCTTCTCAGCAGAGTGTTTATTCTGCTATTTTATACATTTCCTGCACCAACAAGGTTTCTCTATTAAGCACATATTTCATTTTCCAACCCACTATTTACTGAAAGAGGACAAAAATGAACACAACAAGAAATAAAAAATTGGAAGAAAAAAATCAGGACAGACACTTGTCTACTTGATATGATTTAGGTGTCATCATACTTGGAGGGCTGGGATAGTGGGGACATCTTGCCTTAGAGTGATTCTTGTAAGATCCACAGCAGGTCTTTTCTCTTTCATCCATGAAAGGTATTAACAGCTGCTGTCCGAGTGAGTGCAGCATAGAAACAAAAATGTGCCACAGAACACTCTGGCATGGCAAGTTCTATGGAGAAGTCAATCTTCCCTCCTGGACATTTCTCCTGGTTATGCACTTTCCTGGAGGAGACTATCCAAAGACTTTTCCAGAGAACACAGTAAGCAAGAGGATCCTGGCCACAGAGGAAGCAGATATTCTTTTTAAAAATAAAAATAAGCTCTTCCCAACATCCTCATTTTCCTTTAACCTTTGGCATCTTCAAGTCCTGCTAACCACTAATAATTTCTTTTCTCATCTCTTCCAGGAAATGATCGAAATGGCCTAGATTTCAACAGACAGGTAAGGCCTTGGGTCAGAAGAAAACCTTTATACCTTTAAGTTTGGTAGATCAACTATACTGTGTCAAATGTGGGGAATACAGAGAAGATTAAGTGAAGTTTGAGGGTGCTTATTCATAGAATTCCATCTTTCAGGATTGGAAGAGGTCTTTAAAGGACCTTGAGTCCACCCCCTCACCTCAACCCATGATTCCAATGCTGGAATCTCCTCTTCAGTATAGCCTCAAAAAAGACAAACAGAACATCAATTTAGGATTAACTGCTTGTCATGCCAGACGTGGTCCAGAAATCTAAGACAACAGCTCTTTTCCTGTCAAAGCTTAGCTTGAGTTTTCTGAGTCTGTTTGTGTGGACCAACTATGTGTAGAGGAATGTATGAAGCCCTTTGGGGAAGAATGAAATGCCTGTTTTCCTCAGGGAACTCCAGATTTAAAGGAAGGACAGGTAAAATAAAAAGAGCTCACAAATGAGTACATAACCAGGCTCAGGGGGTCAATGTAGACACAGCTTGGTGCTTTTAAAGAGAACCAAGTTGGGTGGGTTTAGAGTTTGTCAGGGGAGGCATTGGGTGGGGGAAGGTTGTATTGGAAAGAATGGGAGAATGGATGGAGATGGATGTGTAAAGAGAAGCATTAAGCAGTGGGTAAAGACTTTACCCTTGAGGTTTGAGCTTATGGGAAAAGTGGAGAGTGGAGTTAGATAATATGGGGCATCAGAAGCAGATGGTGGGAGTGGATGAGTTTATTGGTAGGTGAAACTCTAAGCTGTAGACATGCAGTAAGCAATAATTTGTAGGTCCAAGAGTGAGGCAGAGAATCAGAGACAAAATGAGAGAACCTGGGTTCTAGTCTCTGTTCTACCATTCAGTAGCTGTATTACCTTGGTCAAATCACTTAAGTTTGGAGGGGTGGGGTTGAGTATTCTTAGCCAAAAATATTAATTTATTCCATACATTTGTGGGGACACTTACACTATGCCAGTTGTGGGAATACAAAGAAAAGTATGACATGGTCCCTGGCCTGGAGGAGCCCACAGTCCAGTAGCTGAGAGACAAAAGAAAGAGAGAGAGATTTTAAGCAAATAATTATAATACATTCTCATTGTGCTTTACTAGAAGTGTGTGAAAAGGATGGTGTCAAACAGAAATGGCAATAGTTCATTTTGTCTGGGAGTTTAGGGGAGACTTCATGGAAGAGGTGATATTGAGTCTAGCTCTGAAGGATCAATAGGAATCTGTCAGTCAGAGAAAAGTGGAGTGGAGAGAGAGAGATAGGAAGTGGGGAGGGAAGACAGTCCCAAGGTGGGGCACACTGGACAATCTCTAGAGTTCCTTCTCACTCTGATATTCTGAGTCCAGGTTTAGATGGAAATCAAACACAGACACATGTTCTTCTCCTCCTTGATCTGTAGAATGGTTTAAAATCACTACTAATGTTTCCTAAAAAGCTACTAACTCTGGGTATACCCTTCACAGTCACAGAGAGGACTACTCTTGAATCCTATGCCAGAATCTCTTACAGTGGTTTCACTAGGGTTGGTATCACCCACTGTGGTAACACATGGTGTCACCCACCTCCATAGACCTCCTCCCATACCAAACCATACAGAATCTTTAGTAATGTTTATCAACTTTGATCATAGAATAATACGTGCTAAATATACTTATAAATTACCAAATTGTTTTATAAAATCTTTCTACATTAATTACAACATTATTAGTAACTCAGCAGAAACCTCTTTTTTATTTTTCTCCTTCTATTCCTTTAATTACTACTTCATTCTCAAAAGTTATTGGTATAGGTTCACAAATACTAAACCAAAACCAAATTCACTGCCATCGAGTTGAATCCAACCCATAGCAACCCTTCCTTGGGTTTCCAAGGTGGTATCTCTATGGAAGTAGATTGCCCAATCTTCCTTCTGAGGAGTGGCTGGTGAGTTTGAACTGCCAGCCTTCTGGTTAGAAGTCAAATGCCTTAGACACTACTAAAACACCAAAATTTGTCAAAATTGTTAACTGTAAAAACACCAGCAGCAACAAAACCTATGGAGCAGTGCATGGTTGTAGCACGTGGAGATGAAACCACAGTGATTCTAAGCACCATTCTAATTGGCTAACAATGACAGCTCTGACCAGAGCATGTTAGAATGTTTAAAAAGTAAATTAGCCTGGAGTTTTAGACTTGTAGGTATATTGATTCATGTAAGCTTGGTTTAAGAAAAATGTTTTTGTTGTTATAACTAACTACAGGGATATTTTTATTAAAAAATAATAAATTTATGCTAAAGCACTGAGCAAAATTTTAAAGACAGTCATTTTGGTGTCACCCCCTTTTACAGTCAGTCAGTATCTGTATCCCCTATACCCTCTTAGTGATCTCTTAGGCAGGCAATTTCAGCAATTTTGCTCATTGGAGATCCTGGGAAGTTATCTACACTGACAGAGGCTAACTACTCTCCCTCTCCACTTGAGACCTAAATTGAAGATACATCTTCAATTAAAGAGTGATGTAGGTTAGCTATGAGAAAGGACTTCTAACTAATGAGGTTGGTTAAACACTGGAACAGCTATCAAGGTGGGGACTCAGCAAGGTCTTTAAATGAGAGACAGATTCTTATCTGAGGGGCAGTTTGGCTGGTTTTTCCTCAAGAGCAGGAGGATGGAGATCCCCAAGGATTCTGCGATCCCGAAGGAGATCCTAAGCAGATTGGGATGTGGCCTGTGCCCTGTGCTTTCTGCCCTGAGGACTCAGGATCTACTGGCCCAAGGTCTACCTCTCACTGCCCTGGGCCCTTGGCTGAGATGCATGGGAGAGCCCATTCCATACTAAGACATGGCCACACCAGCCCAGCCAGAAGGTAGTCTTCACAGGCCTGATATGTTTGGTTGTCTGTATTAGCTGTCTGAGCTCAGCTTGAGAAATCCTCACACTGGGACCAAGGCTGGTGGCAGGCCCTTTGCCCTAGGCTGCCTCCAGGGAGGCCCCTGACCATTCTGAACATATTTGGGGACATGATTTCTTTACCAGCTTGACGAACTTATCCTGGCTTCTCCCAGGAGTGAGCCTCACTTGAGTTTGTTTCCCTTGGATGAGCCACATGGGATGGGGCTTTCCCTCCCTCCCCTGGGAGGAGTTTTTGGATTTCTCATTACTGACAAGAACCAACATGACAAGGCTTTCTTTTAAAAGAGGGGGGAATTCTGGAGGAAGAGATGCTTAGCCAAGTCACACTCATTTACACGTTTGTACACCTCTGCTGCTCACAAGAATACCCCCAACCAGAGAACCTGTGCCCAAGTCTCCTCCTCTCCCCTTCTCACTCTGTCATTCAGATGCCACCAGACGCTGACTCCCACACACTCCCATTCGTAGTTGGGCCCACAAGACACTTCAGGCTACTCCACTGACAGTCGAGTCAGTTGCTGTGGAGTCGATTCCAACCTATGTCAATCCCATGTGTGTCAGAGTAGAACTGTGCTCCATAGGTTCTCACTGGCTGAATTTTTGGAAGTAGATCATGAGGCTTCTTCATGGCACCTCTGGGTGAATCAAACTTCAAACCTTTCGGTTACACAAGTGTGTTTACCATTTGTACCACCAGAGACTCTAGTTAGGGCCCCACTTTTCACAGCAAGGGAAGTAAATCAACATTTACCAGCTGCTGAACCCTGTGCAACGTGCTTTTGATGCTTTATCTCATCTAATTCTCACTACAGATCAATGAGATAATTGTTACCATCCCATTTTCTAGGTGAGGAAACTGCCTCCAAGGCAACCCCACCTTTTTCAGCAAAGGCATTGAGAGATGAAGTAACTTGCCCAAGGTCACACAATTGGTCAGGCAGTAGAGCTGGGATCTGAATCTTCTCTTTGAATACAGAGCCTATTTTTCCTATAGCACCTTGCTGCATCCTCCTCCTCTGTGCTCTCTCACCTCTCTTCTCCCTATATAATCTATATAATATACACCAGCCTTAGGGAGAGGCCTGGGAGCCAGAGTGCAGTGTGACCTCACTGTGACTAACCGGGAGGAAATCAGAGGTATAGGGAATAGGGAGAGGAAAAAGTTGTGTAGGAGCAAACTCTGTATCTGATTCAGAAAAAGGGTTGGCAGACACAGGAGCACGAAACAGGAGCTGCTGCACTTGGTGAAGCTCTGGTTGGCTCCAGTTGGAAGGCCCCAAGTCAGTTGCTGCAGTTGGGATTTATAGCCAGGTGCTACATAAACTTCAGTGCTGGAATTGCATTAGCAAAGGATGTTGGCTTATCAGGAAGTTTCCATGTTGAGTCATACACACACACACACACACACACACACATATAACAAGTGGACAAATATCTAGAAACATTTGTACTATGTAAGTGTTTTCTATCATTATAACTATGTCAGTAGGCATGGAGAGACCCAGATATGAGAGATATTTCTGAGATAAGTTTAGGAGGATTTTGACAACAGGTTGGACATGGACAGCAAAGGAGAAAGAAGAGTCTAGCATGATTCTGAGATTTCTAGCTTGGGATGCTGAGCATCAGTGGGACTACAGCCAGAGACAGGAGGTAGAGCAAATTGTCCAGATGGTAAGAAAAGGAAAAACAGCAGATAACAATCTTTAGGTGTCTAAATTATGGTGAGAGATTTGGGACTGAAGCCCAGGAGATAGGTCAGGACTGAAGATGGATGTTGAGGAGTCATCATTGACTTGGTGTTAACTGAAGTGATGGGAGAAAGGGAGATCATCCAGGGAGGGTGTGTGGAGTGAGAAGAGGACCAAGGACAGAACCCAGAGGAAAAGGGACATTTAAAAGACAGGCTAAGGAGTGTGGGCCATAGATGAGACTAAGAAGGAATGATCAAGGGGACAAAAGGGAAACCAAGCCCACAAAGTGAAAGGCTTCCAGGAAACTGGGGATAGCCAACAGCATCAACAGCATACAGAGAGATTGTGGAGCTCAAAGCTTAAGAGCAGCCTAGTGAAATGAACAGTGGTGGCCTCATCAT